AAAATGCTAATAATGGAAAATGATTAAAGTAACGCTAGGTTTATGGAGCTAGTTAAAAGCAGCGACCCGCACTATATATACATATATATACACACACACCCACATATATATATATTGCACGATGAGAGGACTCGGGCGCGGTTTGATTGGTTTGCTGTTGACACACACGCACCCGCGCATATCGTCGTATAACGCATGCATGTTCCGGATTCGAATCGAAACCGGAATCATCCGCCGAATAATCGTTTATAGCATCGCGTGAAGCAGCGTTAAGTAGCAGCAGCTATGTATGCATGTAGCCGTTTAAGCCTAGCGCAGACTTGCGACTTTTCGTTGCTCGTCGCTGCAACCTGCAACCTCATTCGATCGGTCGCACGCTTCACCGTGTGTGCGCATGCAAGCGATTGCCTATCGCACACATGCGATTCCGAAGCGATTTCGGAGCGATTGGAAGCGACGAGTTGCTAAAAATCAAATCAGTTTGATTTCTTGCAACTCGTTGCAAGCGACCAGCAGAATCGCTACGGGTTGCAGTTGCACGTCCCCGCAGACGTAGCGATTTCACAGCAATTTCGACTGCGATTCTATAATCGCAGTCGAGTTGCATGAAAACGTCGCAAGTCTGCGCTAGGCTTTACATTACTGCTAGACCTGCCCAGCAGCTATTGTATCAACAGCTAATAATACTATTATTAATAATATCAATAACAATATTATCAGCTCTTGTATGTGTATGCATATAGCCGCCTACGCTACTACTGCTGCCACACACCTGCCGCGCGCTGATACAAAGCGGCGCAATAGATCCATAGTGCCGGACATTGTGTAGAATCGCACGTACAAACAGAGGTGCGCATACACACACCCCGGCTGAAAGCAACATTACGCTTTTAGCACAACCCTTTAATATAGCAGAGAACAATACACGGGTCGTCAGGACAGGCGGCTGGGTAGAGTGTTTGCTAACGATTTTATGATATATATACAGATGCACACATACGGGCTAATGTCTATAATAGACATAACCATATAAATATATTCTATTACGCACACACACACGCGCGCGCGCTCACTCACACACCTGCGTGCACGCACGTGCGCACTCGCATACACGACACGCACGCGCGTGCGCACTCGCATACACGACACGGACGCACATGCATACGCACGCGCACACACGCACGCGCGCGCGGACGCACACACACATGCACACACACGCATACACACGCACGTGCGCACTCGCATACACATGCACACGAACGCACGTACGCACTCGCATATACATGCGCACACACGCACTTACGCACTCGCATACCCGCACGCACGCGCACACACATGCACACACACGCAGGTGCCAGTACGCACTCGCATACACGACGCGCACGCACGTGCATAGGCACACACGTGCATACGCACGCGCACACACGCACGCGCACACGAACACACACATGCACACGCACTCACACACATATGCGCGCTCACACACGCACGTACGCACTCGCATACACGCACACCCCCACACATGCACTCGCATACACGACGCACACGCACACACATGCACACGGACGCAAGCACACGCGCGTGCGGACACGCACACACATGCACACGCACGAATACACACACACGAACGCACGTACATGTACGCATGTAGGTACGCACTCATGAAGACATACAGGCATCTGGCCTATAGCATAACACAGTGCATAGCTATCGAACAGTGGTGGGTGACTAGCTAGCTATAGCTACTGGCAAAATCAAAGCGCCGTCATCGCCAAACATTCTCTGTGCGGCATTTGTGTGTTTAGACTCACGTATTACACCTATTACAGTTAGTAAACAGCAAATGCTCGCGCGGAGGGAGCGGGAGGGAGAGGGGGGAGAAAGAGAGGAGAGAGAGAGAGAGAGAGAGAGAGAGAGCAAGAGCGAGAGCGAGAGAGA